CCCTCAGCAAGAAGAAGAAACTGACAGAGGCCCTCGGTGTAGTCATTGAACTTCCTGTGGGTCTCACTGGAATGACCATGGGTGGTCGGCCTCCCTGTGGAATGAGCTTTGTAAACGTGGCTTCCCTGGATGGAACCTTGTTCTTTCACTTGCTACCACCCACCCTCATGACTCAGCTCCTTCTCTCACCTCCTGTGAGGTGGTGTTCCGGAACATACTCTCATTCCTGCCACTTCCCTCCCTAGGAAGCTTTCATCTAGTCCCCCCAAGAGGGCAAGGGTCAAATTGACAGCCTGTCTTTCAGTTCACTAATGAACTATGATGGATTGAATTCAATACCCTGTTTCCTTCAACATCTTTCTATTTTGACCCTTAACAGATTTTAAGCATAAAATAGAAACCAAGAGGTGAATGTAACTCCAAAACCCAATACAACTAAAATCCTTGTGCTGCATTTTCTTTTTTGCGTGACCGCCCTTCTTACTGTAATCTTTACAGTAAGAAGATTTGGATGCTCCTGATAGATCAGAGGATGAGGGCAGAGAAGCAGTGTAAGCACAAAAGGGAAGCACAATGATTACTGCTGAGTAAAAAGGCCATAGATCTAGGAGTACAATTGGGCTCAAACACTTCAGAGAAGGCCCACAGGTTCTTTGTTTAGTAGAAAGAGAAATATTCATAGCTAACAAAATGGTAGACCTTTGGTCAAGATCAAGAACGTTTTTGGGTGAGGGAGTGTAGCTCAGGAGGAGAGTGCATTCTGAGCATGGGTTAGGCCCTGGGTTCAAGTCCCAGAACCCAAACAAAACAAACTCCAAGATAAAAATTAAAGAAAAAACACTGCAATACTGCTCGATATGATCCCTCACTTGGAATCACTCAAAACACTCAGTCAAAGCTATTAGTGTAAGAAAAGCTTAGTGAGCGAGTAGGGGCTAAGATAGGGTCAGTGTTGGGTGGAATGATGTGAGTATAAGGACCTTAGGCCTAGAGCGGGGAGGAGGCTGAGCAGATGACTATTTGCTGCAGGAATAGCAGAACCCTTGAGGGAGAGCTTTGCCTTCCTATGGTCCGTGAAATTATTGAGTAAAGGAAATTTTATGTAAGGGTCAAGGAAGTAGTGAGACCTCCAACTGTCTTAAGGTTACAATAATGCACATCTTTGTGATTAAGCACTTGTTAGAAATAAGAAGTAGAAATAAATTGGATATTAAAGCTGAAAAATGTGTTATGTCAAAGATCACTGCAGTTTTAACTTCTTTTTCTTGCCAGACAGCATTAGAGTTCTCCTTTCTGAGCAGTTATCAAGCTAATTTACATTTCATTGGAACAATTTTGATTTATTTAAAAAATTTCCCGAAATTGCCATTAATTTCTGTAAGAAAAATGGAAATGTGCTAGTCAGAGTTGATAAAGCAAAAAAGGATGTTACTTTAGAAAATGAGACGGCTCCTAGCTTCCAGGCCGGCTGGCAAACAAGCTTGACAAGCCCAGGAGGAACAGAGGCAAACTAGACAGTCGGGGCCGTGGCCACAACCACGCCATAGAACAACCTCAGAAAAGAACTCTGCTGCCTGTACAGGTGCAGGAGCCTGCCTATCTCAGCTTCAGCTCTGCAGGCAAAGGCACTGAACACTGGACCCACATGCTGGTGCCCCATAGTGGATTCTCTACCGTCCCTGATCTTTGTCCAAATTCACTGGGCCAGGCCGCTGTGCTGAACCGGCCAAGTGTCTGTGAGTGGTCCATGTTTTGACTGCCAAGGGTGCTGGAGGACAAGCGTCTGGGTTTCATGGCTTGCCTGCAGGGAAGTAGGCACAAGTAGTGGGTGGAATTAATATGGCGATAATATGCCCAAAAGACAAAGAAAAACAGAAACCACAATAACCTGCAACAGCAAGAAAAATGATATTTTAATAGAAGGTACTTTTTTCTTTAGTGCGGCCTATGTGAAAGCAATAAATATTCAAATAATCAGGTGAATTGTACATAAAAGGGCTAATGAACATTTTTAGATTCTTTTGAAAGAAAGAGCAGGTTGATAATTGCACAGATTTGTTGGGACCGTCATGACAGAACACCACAGACAGGAAGGCTTAAACAATAGAAATTGCTTGTCTCAAAGTTCTGGCGGTTACAAGGCTGAAGTCATGTGTTGGAAAGGTTAGTTTCTTCGGAACAGCCCTCCCCTTGGATTGTAAAATGCTGTATTCTCCCTGTCCTGTCCTCTGTGCATACACGTGTCCTAATCTCCCTTTCTTGTAAGAACAGTAGTCCCAAGACATTTCAGCTCACTTTACATGATGTCATTTTTACTACTTTACCGTTTAAATATATTATATACCAAATATAGTCCCATTGTACATTACTACAGTTAGGATTTCAATAAAGGCATTTTAAAGTAACTCAATCCCACTTTATTTCTTCTTCAGTGTCTAAACGTGTAAGTGGTTTGAACACATCAAATGCAAAGTTCAAAATGACTCTTAAACATTT